CAACAAAAACTGCGATGCAACAACAAACTGTAATTCTGATCATGGTCATTGGCGCCGTGGGCTTCAGACCCTCCCTGGACCTCCCCAAACCGCTCTCGCCTCGCACGCGTCTCGCCTCGCCTCGCACGCGGAGTCCAACGTTGAAACTTAAGCTCAAGCTTCAGCCTTCCGTGTTGATGCTTGGCGTCCCGCCGTGCGCTGCAACGGCGAAGAACAATCTGCTCATGGATTTCTGGGCCTTCGAGAAGGAGGGGGCCAAGAAGGAAGCGCCACACCCCGCGTCCCTGGAACATCTGCGTCTCATAGGGCAGGTCGCGCCATCCGCAGTGCGCCGCCGCTGCTCCTGCGCGCCAACACCGCTGCGGCCCGCGTGCGCGGAGCATCCCTGGCGCGTCACGGCGGGGAGGCCTGGAGCCGCTCGAGCGCGCGCCGGAACACCTCCTGTGGAGGAGTGCGCAGGAAAGGGGCACACAGAAACCTTCGGAGGTCGGCGTTTTTTCGGATCGGTGCTGGGCCCCCTCCCTGCCGCGATTCGACGCCTCTGGCCGCGCGCCTGGCGCGCCAATCGCAGCAGGGAGAGGGCCCAGCGCCGATCCAAAGAATCCGCGCGGACTTGCGATTGTAAACTCAACGTCTTGTCTGTGATTTTCTTCATGAGCTTTTCTGGGAAGCTAGTAGGTGCGCTGCCGGATCAATAATGGGTCGGGCGACAACGTCTCCCGTGGTCTCCCGCGGCCTCCCATGCCTCTCGTGTCCTCCCGCGGCCTCCCATTGCCGTCCCTATCCTTATCCCTATCCCTATCCCCATCCTGGATACCCCTACCCCTATACCTATCAGCCTCTTCCTACCCCTCTCTATCCCTGTCCTTTGCCCCATGGATACTGGAACGCTTCCTACGAGATAAATAGGTGCGTTGTCGGAGCGGGCGGGCGACGCTGCCTCCAGTTGCCTCCCAGCGTGGCCCCCCATCGCGGCCCCCATCGTGACTGTGTAAAGCTGCTTATCAGACCTTCTGCCGCAAGGGTGTGATTTGTTCTTCCTCGATCCTGGTGCGCCGGCGACTCGATGGCGCAGTCTTCGAAGAAGTCGTCGGGGCTCTCGCCCCCGTAGAGGTTGCGGATCTGCCGGAGGTCCACGTACATGCCGGCGACTCGCCCGCACAGCTCCTCCGCGTCGGGACCGAGGCCCAGGGACTGCAGCCACTGCTGCACGGACGTCTCCTCCGTGCTTACCGCAGGGTGCGCCGCGCGCCCGCCGCCGGCGCCCGCGCCCGCGGCCGCCGCCGCCCCGGCCTCGCCGAGGGCTGGCTCGCGCCTGGACGGCGGACGCCCCAGCTCCAGGTCGTACGCCGGCCCGTGGCCGCGGCTCCTGGCCTGGCGCGCGGGGTCCGCGAGGCCGTCGGCGCCGCCGCCCCCGCCGTAGGGGTCGCTGTGGGCCACGCCGCCGCGAGGCGGCCGGTCGTGGGCCTGCCGAGCAGCCGCGACGGCGCGGGCGGAGCTCCTGCTGCGGCTGCGCGGCCCGCTGCCGCCTCGGCCGCCGGAGCGGTCCCTCCGAGCTGTCCTGGGCCGCCCGAGCGCACCGGCCGAGCCGCGCGCGGCCTTGAGCCGGCTGCCCTCGACGACCTCGTACGTGGGCGGCATGGCGTCGGTGCCGCTGACCGACGGCGGTGGCAGGAAGCTGATCACGTCCCCGTGCTTCACCTCGATGTGGCGGTTGGGCGTGACCTGCTTCTCGTTCAGCCAGGTGCCGTTCGAGGAGGTGTCCTCGAGCATGAGCCTCCTGCTGCCGTCGGCGGCCTGCAGCACCGTGAGCAGCGCGTGGGCCTTGGAGATGTGCTGGACGGGAAGCGCGAGGTCGCTGGAAACACCGCGCCCAATCGAGAGCGGCCTGGAATCCGCGAACACGGGCACCGCGGCGGGCAGCCCAGCGGGGCCATCGAGCCTGCGGAGGACGAAGGCGGCCCCTGCGTCCTCGCCGCCTCGCGCCCTCGGCCTCCGCCGCTCGTCCCTGGACCGCGAGCGCCGGGCCTCCCCACGCGCCTCCCTCCCAGTCTCCAGGGTGCCAGTGAGCTTCCTGATCGTGTCTATGACCGACAGCATCTCGTCGTCCTCCTTGGCGCCAGCCCGCTGCCGCGGCGGCGGCGGCGACACCGCCCGCATCGGCGACCGGCGGCGCGGGGCCTCTGCCCGGCGCGCCAGCGGCACCGGCGGCCTCGGGGGCGGCGGGCCGGCGGCCGGCGGCGGCAGCCCTGGCGGCGGGCCCGCGGGGAAATGCGCGGCCAGCGGCGGCCCTGGCGGCGGCCCCGGCGGCGGCCCTGGCGGCGGGCCGGGCGGCGGCCATAGCGGCGGGCCAGGGAGCGCAGGAGGTCCCGGCAGCGGCAGCATGGGGCCTGCGCAGCTGCCAGGCAGGCAGCCGGGCAGCGCAGAGGACTTGGCCACCGAGGCCGGCGCGTCTCTCTCCAGCGGCAGGGCGTCACGGCCGCCCTGCGGGTCGGCAGGGCCCCTGCCGAACGCCGCGCCCTGGGCCTCCTCCCTGAGCCTCTGCGCGCGCCGCATCACGAAGGCCGACGGGTTCTTCATCTCGCTGGGGTCCGACTGCAGCATCTCTCGCTTCAGCTCCGGCGGCAGTGCGCGCACTGCCTGGCAGGCCTTTGCGTCGATGCCGTGGTGTCGCAGGAAGCCCTCCACGCCGAGCTCGAGGTCGTCGTCGCCGCTGCCTCCGCCCGCAGCGTCGCGGACGCCCCTGTCCGGCTGGGGGCGGCCCCCTGGCAGTGCGGCCAGCGCGGCCGTGGCCGCCTGCCCCTCGGCCGCCGCGCTGATGTCGGGGAGTGCCGCAGCGAGGCTGTCCGAGCCCCACTCGTCCCAGTGCGGCCGCTGAGCGGGGGGCTGCCCGCGAGCGTCCTCCAGGGTTGGGGGCCGCCCTTCCGCCGTGGGCGGCGGCGCGGGCGGCAGAGGCGCCAGCTCGCTCCAGCCGCGCTGGCCAGGCCGCTCCGAGGTCTGGCCCCAATGGTCCACAGGGCCATCCGGCGCGCCTGCGCCTGGGCCAGCAGCGCCTGGCCCTCGTCGCCTCTTGTGCCCGAGCTCGCCCCTCCGAGCCTTCCCCACCAGCGACAGCAAGTAGGCCGAGGGGTTCCGCACGTTGCCGATGCTGAGGTCGGTCTCCATCACCAATCGCTGGAGCTCGGGGCTCAACTTTCGGAAGCTCCAGCTGGCGTCCTCGTCGATGCCGGAGTGGCTCAGGAATGCTTCGACCTCCTCCTTGCACGCGCCTTCGTCGGACGCCCCGGCCCTCAGGTCGGCGCCGCCAGCGGGCCTCGCAGCATCGCTCGCCAAGGCCCCCCAGCGCGCCTCACCACCCTCGCGGCCGTGCCAGCCTGTGCCCGCGCTCGCGCCGCCGGGCGAGGCGTGCCGCTGAGGGCAGGCCAGCTCGCCATGCCGGACCTTCGAGATGCGCGATCTGAGGGCGGCCACCTTTGGAGGCAACTCCTGGGAAGTCTTCGCGGGAGCGATGGGTGGCCATTGAACCCAGTCGATGGGCCGCCAAGCCAGAATAAGCTCGAAACAGCCCAGGATCAAGCATAACTAAACGGGAATCGGCCAGAGTGGGGGCGTTAGACCAGCTCGACCACGGGTATGCCAGCGCCGATGCCGAAATGAGGGAACCCACGAAAGACGTTAGTGCACAACCACCTAAATAAATACGGCCCCCCAGTCCACGACGCCAGCCTCGTGTCACAAACGTTCGCGCAATGCGTACTTTCGAAACCAACGTGGATTCATGTAACCTCAAGAAGCCATTAAGGACCCCCCTGGGTTATCATGAGCACAGCACCGACTTTAAATAATTCTGGGGGGCAGTTTTCGCCGAACGATATGATTAACACCGCGCAAATGGAACGAAAATAAATAATTCCCGCGCCCCGGCTCGGGTGGTATCCTAATTGGAATTGTAATCCGCCGACCCCTTGGGGTCATCGGCGTGTGAGATGCTTCCCCCCTCCCCAAACCCCTCCCCCCGGAGCCTGGTCCGGTCGTTTTGGAGGGGGGGGGGGGGGTCCGGCCGGATTCCCCGGGATCCGCCGGCGCGGTCCGGGGGGGGTCATCCGCTCCAGAGAGTCTGCTGGGGGGGCCGCAAACGAGCGAAGAGGCTCCCAAGAAGCTCTGCAGACGGTCCAAGAGGGCCCCGAGTCGCCGAAAAATCACTCGAAGACGGTCAAGATGGCCTCCAGATGGCCCCAGATGCCTCCAAGACGCCCCAAGAAGCTTCCAAGACGCCTCCCAAGATGGCCCCAAGAGGCCAAAATCGTCGATTTCCATTGGTTTTTTCAACGTTTTTGGCCTTCGCGTTTTTTCGGGCTTCCGACGCTCCAAGACGGCGAAAGAAGCCCCCAAGACGGCATCAAGACGACCCGAGAGGCTCCCAAGTGGGCCCCAACACGGCCCAAGAGCGCCTCAAAACGGCTCAAGAGGGCCTTCAGACAGTCCAAGAGGGCCCACAGAGGGGCCCAAGAAAGGCTCCAGACGGGGACCACGAACCTAAAATTCTAGCCTTCCGCCCCAAAAGGCGCCAAGGAGGCCCCAAGAGGCCTCCAAGAGGCTCCAAAAAGCCCCCAAGAGGCCCCCAACAAGCCCAAAAAAAGCCCCAAGCTGCCCCAAAACAGCTCCCCAGAAGCCTCCAAACTGCCTCCCGCAGGCCCCCGAGAGGATTCTCACGACGACGGCGCCAGAGGCTCCCACAACGGTCAACGAAGCCCCCAAGATGGCCCCAAAAAGGTGCCCAGCCTACGCCGTCGAGTCTGTCGCCGCCATTGTCGTCCTCGTCGTGTTCTCCTGCTCCTTCTCATCCTCCTCTTCCGCCCCCTCCTCCCGTCTCCCCTCTCAGCTTTCTGTCTCGTATTCCCTCCACTGGCTCACTTTTCACCTTCTCCGCCTTTGGCTGCTCCCCCATCCTCCCTCCTCCACGTCCCCCTTATCCATCCCGTCCCCAGCGGTCAGATTCCTCGCAACTTCCGTGCCTTGTCGCAATGCTCGTCACTTGGTTCCGCCGGGCGTTTCGGAGGGTCTCTCCGCGGCGCTCGTCCCGCTTTAAAACACTTCGCGCACACAACTGGGTTGTTTCGCTTGAAATAATTCTTCTTCTGGTCTTTCGACAAATGGCCCCCGTCTGAAAACGCTGGTTTCTTCCCGTCCCCGTTCGGTGGGCACGCGGAGCATTCAAACTTTTTCGCCCCCGTGCGCGCATCGCCCCAGAAAAAAAAACAAGGGGTCGGCGGATGTGGCGTAAGCTTGAAGAATAATAATGCGAGTGAAATGCGAGTATTCATAATACGAATAAGAATGCTAGTACTAATCATATTACTGACAAGAGTAAGAGTAATATTACTAAGAATAATAAGAAACAAATGCCAGTAACAATAATAATTATAGTAATCCTCCCTCAATAGGGTTCCCCCTCCTCCCTCCTATTTCTCATTCTCTTCATCATCCTTGTCCTATACGATTCTTATTACCAGCCCTATTGAACAATTGTTTTTTCTCGGCCGTCGTGTGGTATGGTCCATTCGAGGATATCGCCCCCGCCCCGCACGGAGCGTTATCTTAGCACCGCGCCCGCACAAAATAATTACGACAGCTCGTCCAACAAATAATTACGTCCAGAGCAGTTTCTGAGGATGTCTTAGGCGAGGCGCCTGTTTCATAACCACAAAGAGACCATATTGCGAGAATGTCTCAGGCGGTTTGCTGGTTTCGGCGAGCAGACTCGTCTGCGTTCACATAAAGGTGCGAGGTGCCAGGGTAACGCTTCTGGGGTGCCGGGTGCGTTACACTTTCGCTGGAGAGGGGGTGGGGTTCTTAATTGCGTCCGGAAGTTATGTGTGCGTCCTTCTTGAGCCCTTGAGAAGTGACCCCCCGGGAATTGCAGCAGAGGCCGCCCGGTCACGCGCGTCGGCCAGGTCGGACTCCATGACCTGCCGCTGCTGCTCCGGCAGGAGGTCCCTGAGAAGGCGCGCCACCTCCTGGTGGTCGCCGATGCCGTTGCGCGACAGGTAGGCCTCGACCTTGAGCGGGGACCGACCGTCCCGGCATGCCTGTAGGCCTGCCAGGAAATATTCGTAGAACCCCAAGATATTCCAACAACAAGAAATTATTCTCATAACACAAGCACGATGTGTAAACACAAGACAGTCCCAGCCAGAAATGTTCTAACAACATTTCGTGCAGACCGCAAAAGGTTCTTAGAACATTTTCTGAGGGTCCTATATAGGCGAGCCAGGACGCTTCGCCACTGCTCGACGACCTCTGCGGCAGCATCGGTCCAGGCGCGGCTGCCACCGCTCTTCTCCGGCCGGCCGTCGAAGAAAGCCTTCATGGGGTCCTCGGACTCCCGGCCGCGTGGCGCGGGGGCCTGCCAGGCAGTGCTGAGGGGAGCCACCACTCGCGGGGTCCCCACCTCCTCCTTGAAAACCGAGAGGAGGAGGAGGAGGAGGAGGAGGAGGAGGAGGAGGAGGAGGAGGAGGAGGAGGTGGAGGGGGAGGGGGAGGAGGAGGAGGGAGGAGGAGAGGAGGAGGAGGAGAGGAGGAGGAGGAGGAGGGAGGAGGAGGAGGAGGAGGAGGAGGTGGAGGAGGAGGAGGAGGGGAGGAGGAGGAGGAGGAGGAGGAGGAGGAGGAGGAGGAGGAGGAGGAGGAGGAGGAGGAGGAGGAGGAGGAAGATCGAGGATCGAGGAAGACCCCGGACGTTGTTGGGCGACTTTGGTGGTCCTCGCAGGGCCGGTTCCTTGACGAGGTGGCGACCCTCTGAGTGCTGACCCCCCTTGGCATTGCCTGGGCCTGGTCCGGTGGCACGGGGGCCGTGGACGAGGAGGCCAACGCGGAGCCCACCTCAAGGACTGGCGCGGTGAAGTCCGCAACCCTGGCCGCGGTGCCGTCCCGGGGCGCGCGCGCGTGGCCGTTGCGCATGTCGCGGACCCTCCTCATGAGGAAGGCCGAAGGATTCCGCACGCGGTCGAGGCCGCACTCCTGCATGAGCTGCCTCTGCAGGCAGGAGCTCAGCTGCAGGACGGCCGCCTGCGCGCTCTCGTCCACGCCGTGCGCGCGAAGCCACTCCTCCACGTCCTCCTGCTTACCAGCCTCGAACGTATCCCTATCCCTAAGATTGACACGTCAAAAGGCGATGACAATCTTAGGGATGCGCCCTCAAAACATAAGGGAATCCCTCAGATTGGCATCGTGATGAGGAGATGCCCAGCATAGGGATAGGGATATGTTCTAGGCTGGTAATCCTGCCATGAAGGAGACGGGTCCTGGGGGACACGGGCCCTGGACTCCGGGGTTCCCCCGTGAGGCCAGCCTCCATCCCGAGACAATCGTCTCCTGGCGGCCCTGGGGCCCGGGGAGGGCTCTCGGAGCCCGAGCGCGGCCAAAAGCCTCAGGTTCCGCTTCCCGCAGGAGCCCTTCGTGACGGCCACTCGACCTCCGCTCCCAAGGTCCGTCCTGGCCCATTCTTCGAGCTGCGCCCAGCCATGGCGACGCGCAATCGGCCACTGACGTGGAGGAGGAGGAGAGGAGAAGAGGAGGAGGAGGAGGAGGAGGAGGAGGAGGAGGAGGAGGAGGAGGAGGAGGAGGAGGAGGAGGAGGAGGAGGAGGAGGAGCTGCGTCCAGCCACGGCGACGAGTATGGCGTCCCTCCTGGAGGACTGACGTGGCTCGCTCCTCGATCCCAGGGGCCCTCTCCCCTTGGTGCCCACTCGCTCCTCGGCGAGGCCCTCGCCGGGGAACTGCGACACCGGAGGCGCGCCCGGGCCCTTGGCGGGGTGCTCGGCGGCCGCCACCCAGGTGGGGCGGCCCGGGCGGGGCACGCCGAAGCCCGGGGGCCCGAGGGCGCCGCCCGGGCCGCGGGGTCGCAGGCCGCCCGGGGCGAGCAGCGGCCGCAGCGCGCGCTCGGCCTCCGCCACCAGGGCCGCCTGCATCGGCGGCGGCCGCGGCCACCCTGCGGCGGCCTGCCGCAGGGGCGGCGCGGCCATCAGCGCGCCGCGCGGGCGCGGGGCGGCGCCATCGCGCCTGCTCGAGCCCTCGTCGCTGCCGCGTGCTGCGCCTTGCGCGTCCCGGTCGCCTCTTCTCGGCCATCGTCTGGGCCAGGTGTGCCTGGCTCCTTCGCCATCAACACCGCCTTTTGGCCGCCGCAATCGCATTTGCCGTTCCCCTTGCCTTTGCAATCATATAATCGTGTTTGCTATTACCCTGTTAGTCACATCTCTAGGCACCCGCAATTACAACTGTACCTGTACCTACGTAAACCTTTGCCAAATTCTGCATTCATCCGTATTTGACCCATGCCATGCCCGTACCTGCAGTCGCACCCGTGTCCGCAATGGTGCCTTTGGCATTGCCATTCTAACCTTCTGGTAAAGTCATGTTGGGAAGCCTGGACAACCAAGCTTCATTCATTATCCCAGTGCGACCCTACCTAGGAGTTGGAGCATTCAGGAAAGCAACAGCTAAGCTAAGCTAAGCTAAGCTAAGATGTAAGCTAAGCTAAGCTAAGCTAAGCTAAGCGAAGCGAAGCGAAGCTAAGCTAAGCTAAGCGAAGCGAAGCGAAGCTAAGCTAAGCTAAGCTAAGCTAAGCTGGGCTAGGCAAAGCTAAGCTAAGCTAAGCTGAGCTGAGCTAAGCTAAGCTAAGCTAGGCTAGGCTAAGCTAAGCTAAGCTAAGCTAAGCTAAGCTAAGCTAAGCTAAGCTAAGCTAAGCTAAGCTAAGCTAAGCTAAGCTAAGCTAAGCTAAGCTAAGCTAAGCTAAGCTAAGCTAAGCTAAGCTAAGCTAAGCTAAGCTAAGCTAAGCTAAGCTAAGCTAGGGCTAAGGCTAAGCAGCTAAGCTAAGCTAGGCAAAGCTAAGCTAAGCTAAGCTAAGCTAAGCTAAGCTAAGCTAAGCTAAGCTAAGCTAAGCTAAGCTAAGCTAAGCTAAGCTAAGCTAAGCTAAGCTAAGCTAAGCTAAGCTAAGCTAAGCTAAGCTAAGCTAAGCGAAGCTAAGCTCAGGGTAAGTTAAGCTAAGCTAAGCTGGGCTAGGCAAAGCTAAGCTAAGCTAAGCTGAGCTGAGCTAAGCTAAGCTAAGCTAGGCTAGGCTAGGCAAAGCTAAGCTAAGCTAAGCTAAAGCTAAGCTAAGCTAAGCTAAGCTAAGCTAAGCTAAGCTAAGCTAAGCTAAGCTAAAAGCTAAGCTAAGCTAAGCTAAGCTAAGCTAAGCTAAGCTAAGCTAAGCTAAGCTAAGCTAAGCTAAGCTAAGCTAAGCTAAAGCTAAGCGAAGCTAAGCTCAGGGTAAGTTAAGCTAAGCTAAGCTGGGCTAGGCAGCTAAGCTAAGCTAAGCTAAGCTGAGCTGAGCTAAGCTAAGCTAAGCTAGGCTAGGCTAGGCAAGCTGCAAAGCTAAGCTAAGCTAAGCTAAGCTAAGCTAAGCTAAGCTAAGCTAAGCTAAGCTAAGCTAAGCTAAGCTAAGCTAAGCTAAGCTAAGCTAAGCTAAGCTAAAGCTAAGCGAAGCTAAGCTCAGGGTAAGTTAAGCTAAGCTAAGCTCGGGGAACCCAGGGGGCGCACCCGGGGGAACCAGGGGGGCGCAACCGGGGGAACCGCCCGGGGTGGGTTTCATTGCCCGCCCCCTTTAGCAAAGAAAGTAAGAACCCTTCTAGGCAGAGCCTAGGTAGGGAACAAAACAAAACGTATGTCCCTGCCCCAGCGCTGCGAACGCACTCCCCACAATAAGTACTATAGGCTCTAAATACCAGCAAGGAACATACAGGGTCCCATCGCACATTTTTCCATGTTACCTGAATCAGCTTGACTGAATGGCCAGGTGTGGGAGGGATCTCGAACGACACACCTCGACTGCCTTGATCCTCGATCCGCCTCCTTCCCTCCCCGCAGGCACGATCCCTCGATTCCCCCCCATCCCCTCCTCGATGGCCCCTGGAAGCCCGCGTAAGCCTCACAAAGGGCCAACATCGTCCAGCAGCCTCGGTCCTCGACAGGGCTGAACCCAAACGGTGTTATTCGTTTTCGTGTTGTTTTCGTTTTCCCTCGTTTTGTCTTCAATCCGCCCTTCCCGCAAAACGAATTCGAAACGAAAACGGCCCACGAGATCGCCAAAACACCGTTTAGGTCCAGCCCCGGTCCCCGATCCGCCTTTACCAGACATCTGCGCGACCCCGAAACTCCTGACCCCATCAGCAGGAGTGTTCTTCGTCCCGGATCAGTGTGTGATGGCCCTTGGACGCGATCAATCTGTTCTTCGTCCTGGATCGATGTGTGCTTCATCCCGGATCAATGTGCTCTTCGTCCCGGATCAATGTGTGCTGGTCCCAGAGTCAAGTCGGGCGTGTCCCCCTACAGGGGGATTAAATACTCCCAAATGGTAAAACATACTTTAAAATAGTCCCCAGCCTATTTTTTGACTATTTTTGAACATTCCCCCTGTAGAGGGACAGGCCCGACTTAATCCCAGAGGCAGGAGCCGAAAAAACAAGCCAGGGCTGACAAAAAATCATGCCGTCGGAACTTCGGGCGTTCGCGAGCGGGGGGGGCAACAAGCGTGGAGTGCAGAAGCGCGCACCTCTCGTGCACCCACTGGGCCCGCGGGGGCAATGCAGAGGTCCTGTAGGGCCCTTCTGCCTCCACATGCATTGCCTTCCCGTTGCCGTCCGTCCGCCAGACGAACAAACAACTGAATGAACACAGTGTCGTCAAGGCCCTCGCGGGTAGCTATCTCGGATCGGCGCTGGACCCCCCTCTGGCGGAGCTGCAGGCGCCACCAGAGGGGGTCCAGCGCCGATCCCAGAAACCTGCACGGAGCTCACGGAAATTATGCATCTGCCATGTCTTGCTCTTCGATTCCCTCCCGGCAGGCACGTGCAGCAGGCCCAGGCCGCAGTCGTAGGCGAGGGCCCCCAGCAGCCAGGCGCTGCCCCGCTCCGCCGAGGGCCCGAAGGCGCCCTCGCCGCCGAGCAGGCCGCCTGCCTCTGGGGGGGGGGAAGGGGCTGCTGGGCGGCGCCCCTCTCGCCCTGCTGCTGCCCCAGAATATCAGACGGCATGTTTCTTTCTAGCCCTTCCTTCTCCTCGCTTCCCTCCCCTTTCCCTCCTGATGCATTCCAGATCCTCCTCCCTCTTCCTCCTCCCTCTTCCTCCTCCCTCTTCCTCCTCCATCTTCCTCCTCCTCCTCCTCCTCCTCGTCCTCCTCCTCCTTCGTCCTCCTCCTCCTTCGTCCTCCTCCTCTTCCTCCTCCTCCTCCGTCCTCCCTCCTCCCTCCGGCCACGGCCGCAGGGGCTCCCAGAAGGGACCAACGCCCGCTGGGGCGGCTGGAGTGGTCGACCCGATTCGTCTTTGTACCAGGTCTATTGGAGTACCCGGCAGGGGGCCACACCACTAGCCTGGCTGTTGGTCGGTCGCCATGCAGGCTGCATGGGTTTGGTCGGTCTGTTGATGCTTTCAGTCGGCGTGGTTGCATTTCCCTCTGTCGGCACTCAGCTTGTCGTATTCTGTCTCGTCTAGGTTGTTCTCGTGGTTGCCATGCAAGTTGCATGGGCTTGTCGGTCGCTGGTACGTCACACCAATCGGCTCTCATAGTCGTTCGTATGGTGCGCCATCTGTCAGCTATTAACTCTCCCGTGTGGTCTGTCTGGTGGCTTGGTCAACGGTCAGAGTGATCTGCTGGTAAGGCTGCTAGTTGTCTGATCACTGGGGAGAAATCGTCGTCGTCTGGCCGTGACGGGGCTCTTGCCCCTGACACCGACGAACAAGCCCTGGTACATGAGCCTGTGCTGCTCCTGACGACGACGAAGCAAGCCCTGGTGCCTGAGTCGGTGCCGCCCCTGCCAACGACGAAGCAAGCCCTGGTACGTGCGTCGGTGCCGCCCCTGACGACGAAGCAAGCCCTGGTACGTGAGTCGACGCCTTCCTTGCCAACGACGAAGCAGACCCTGGCACATGAGTCAGTGCTGCCCCTGGCGTCGACGGAGCAAGCCCTGGTACGTGAGTCGGCGCAGCCCTTGCCAGCGACGAAGCAAGCACTGGCACGTGAGTCAGTGCTGCCCCTGGCGTCGACGGAGCAAGCCCTGGCACGTGCGTCGGTGCCGCACTCGGCGACGACGAAGCAAACCCTGGTACATCAGTCTGTGCCGACCTTGCCAACGATGAATTAAGCCCTGGCGCGTGAGTCGGCGCTGCCCCTGACGCCGACGAAGCAAACCCTGGCGCATGATTCGGTGCCGCCCTTGCCACCGACGAAGCAAGCCCTGGCACATGAGCAGGCGCTGCCCCTGACGTCGACGAAGCAAGCCCTGGCGCATGATTCGGCGCCGCCCGTGCCAACGACGAAGCAAGCCCTGGTACGTGAGTCGGTGCCGCCTTTGCCAACGACGAAGCAAGCCCTGGTACAGAAGTCGGCGCCGCGCCTGACGACGAAGCAAGCCCTGGTACATGAGTCGGCGCCGCTCTTGCCAACGACGAAGCAAGCCGTGGTGCACGAGTCGGTGCTGTCCCTGACGTCGACGGAGCAAACCCTTGCACATGAGTCGGCGCTGCCCCTCACGACGACGAAGCAAGCCCTGGTACCTGAGTCGGTTCCGCCCTTGCCAACGACGAAGCAAGCCCTGGTACATGTGTCGGTGCCGCCCCAGACGACGACGAAGCAAGCCGTGGTGCATGAGTCGGTGCCGCCATTACCAGCCACGAAGCAAGCCCTGGCACATGAGCCGGCGCTGCCCCTGACGTGGATGGAGCAAGGCCTGGCGCATGATCCGTTGCTGCCCCTGACAATTCACATTAAACAGTCACGACTGATCCACGCATCAAACGATGTCAGGCGTAGCCCGTTAGATATAATGCTCGCGCAGCGATTCTGATTGCTAGGGGGCATGGCCTGGCTCACGTAGGTGTTCTCGCTGTAGTGCAGGTTCGCCTGCTCAGGCGTGCTTCCTCTTGGCACGTTCCACGTGGTGACTTGGGCGGTGGAGGGATGCGCTGCTGCTCCAGCTTGTCGCTGGCGCACTGCTCTGCGGTGCTGCCGCATTTGTAGCAGTAGTAGCCTTGGTCGCGTCGATGCCACTTGATCTGGTGTGAGAAATGTGCACATCGGCCCTTCAGCATGAGTGGTTGGTATTCTGCGCTGGCCGTTCCGCTGCAACTTGCTTGTGGCCGCCATCTCGCCATCGTGCTTCGCTGCGGATAACCGTTTGCGAACGTACCGCGCATTCCCATCCTGTGCTGGTTGGCCTCAGTTGGTGCCGGCTTGATGCTGCAAATTGGTCGACCGTCGGCGTCGACGGTCGTTGCTGCTCTGCCTCCCGTCGTAGCTTGGCTCATTCTTCCCATGACATTGGTGGTTTCCGCCCCGTGCTGTCTACAGTTGCTTGCGTGATGCGTTGGCGCGCCAGGTTGCCCGCCGCTCGAACCCATTCGTAGCGTCCGAGTAGTGCTGCTGGTAATGCATGTTCTTCTGTTGCTCGGTCGGCCTGAATGTCCGCTTCTCGGGTTCCAATCCATGCCCATTCGGGTATCTCCTTCTGTCGCGCTTCTTCTCATTCCAAGTGAGCGACCCGCGCGGGTGCAAGGGCAGAGGAGCCCCATGCGAAATACGACTCACTACGCAGAAGGTGTAAATCCAACGACGGGCCAAATACTCCAATTACGCCGCCAACTGCTGGGCTCGAGCGGAAACAGCACTCGCGACGCTGCGCCGACTGCGACAGCGGCGAGTAGGACAGTATAATATTCAGGCGCTGGAGGCATGCTGCCGCCGACTTGCACGAGACGGAGTTCCAGCGGCAGGACCGACGGCATCTACCACAGCGCGCTTGCATTGGGCGCCATGGAGGGACAAGCTTCACGACGTGCAGGACGCACCCGCCGACATCATCGAGGGGATGGCCGCCCAAGCATCGCAGGAAGCACTGCGCGCCGTGCGCCATGACCTGCGCAGCAACGGGCATGACTACGCTCAATGGCTGACCACCGCGCGCCGCAACGGCACCATGCACGGAATGACGAGACCAGCCAACCGCTGCGAAGACGACATGATAGACGGCACAACCGCAGCTGGTTCAACCTTCGAGCGACTCGAACTCGAGCGACAGTCGTTCACAACGACTTGGAGCGACGCCCGCGACCGGCACCCGACGCACCAACAACTGCTACAGGAGCTACGCGCCCACGCGCTGAAGACCCCGACGACGACTTGGTGCAGGGAACCGTTCGACGACGCCGTTGTAGGCCAACCCGACAGAGGCCGCGGCACGGACCGACTAAACACCGGTGGCGCACGACGGTTGCCATCAGCGGGGCGCGAAGCCATCACGCAGCTCCTGAACACCATCGACCGAGATGTGGCATGGCCATGGCAAGTTAGGCACTGAGTCATGGCCCAACCCAAACCATCCACCAACAAAGGGGACTCAGCAGTCCCTGAAGGAGGAGACAGGGCACTCGCACTCCTCCCCTGGATCTGTCGAACTTGGAAGCTCATGCGCCACGACGCCGTGCGAGCATGGGCCAAACAAGTCGAAGAGCCCTGGGGCGCAGCCATTGCGGGCAACAGTTGCCTCCGAGAAGCGATGATACGAACGCTGGGTGACGAAACAGCAGACGCCTGCGGAATACAGGCAGCCACCACACTACTGGTCATCGAACGCTTCTACGGCTCGCCCAACTTTGGCAAGATTTCGGGTTTCCAGCGCGGATCTTCGCGCTATCGCTTCAGATGCACCTCGCGCCATGATTCCCACGCCTCGAGAACTGCTTCAGCGAGCCGATCTACGCGAGCCGCTCACTGCGAGCAGGCGCCAGGCACTCCAACAACCTGGCACGGGCCCTGGTCTACTTCGCGATGCGCCAGTGCTGCAGTCGAATCATCAGGACTCAACCCAGAACATGCTTCGACAACATCGGGGTGCAGCTGTGCGGCACGAAGAAGACCATCATGCGGGGCACGGTCGCATCTGCAGCCATCCTCCACAACGAGTCGCAGCAGCAAGGCCTGAGGGTAGCCGCTAAGTCCGTCATCATCTCGAGCGACATGCGCACGACCAAAGAGACTGTGCGACAGCTTGCAGGCAAGGGCATCAACATCGACGGCAGCACCGAAGGACGCGACCTGGGAGTCGACAGGAGCAGCAAAACATGCACACAACGACGCACGCACCGCGCCAGGAAGAAGAGAGCATGGGGCACGCATGACCAAGGTCGGAAAGATATTCAAGCGAACCAAACGCCGAAGGGTACGGAGACTCCAAGCCTAAGGCGCTATGGCCTCCATCCTCTACGGCATCAAGGTGTACGGGGCCTCACGGCACGAGCGACTACAGACACGCCGACACTACGCCAAAGCCATCCGACGAGCATGGCTTGGCCGATGCTTAACAACGCTTATACCACTGGAAGGCCGAGACCCAGAACTCGCCACGGTAAGAACGCAGTTCGCAGCTTGGTTCGACCTCTGGTCAACAGGCGACGACATACGAACGCGCATCACGAAGACGTGGCTACCCACTAAGGAAAAGCTCGCCAAGCACGACCCACAACGACGGTGGCAAACCAAACGCGGCATCGTTGGCCCACTCAGACCTATGTTGTGGGAACCCGGCTGGGATCCACAATGAGCGGACTACTGGATAGACCCACGCGGAGACGCATGGCAACTATCCGAC